AGAAACAAGAAATCTTTCTGTTTACCTTCTCCCAAAAATGAGTCACCACCTCATACCTCTCGAACCAAAGATTGCTCAATCTGAGAACCGCTCAACTTGCCCAGACTTTTTGCGACTCAACAATTTCTGTATCTGCCTTCAATTTAACTGTGGAAACTTTTCAACTTTTTTATAAATAAACTGTTGTTTGAGCAATGGATTTCAAGGGATTTCGAGACTGAAAAGTTGGAATTTCACTTTATTAAGTTAGGAATCACGTAATTAAGCAGGTCAACATTTAGTATTATTTATTTCAAGCTGCCGCAACATGATTCCTTCTATTTCAACCAATTTATTCTAATTATTTTTGATGCTCTACCTGAATGTATCAAAGAAATGCTGTTGATTAATTTGTATTTTAGTTAATTTCTTGGCTTTTGTGTGCAAAGCTGGCGCTTGACTTTTAGATTTGCCTAACAATATATTCTTGACAAATTAACGAGCGATCGGTGTCGGTAAAACGCCGTGGAATTCTGAAAAGATAGACGTGTGTCCAAAGGGGAGGGAACCCATCAATCAGAAGCTAGGTGCGAGTTTGTCAAAAAAACCAGAAAGTAAATATATTAATTAGATGGTCTGTTCGACTTAAATGTACAAATGGCGTGAATCATCGGCAGCTGCGGGTTATCAAGATTGTTTATGCAATGCCTCCGATTATTTAAATGAGGCAGCAATTCATATAATAATTTATTGTAGACGCATACCATGTTTTTGTCTGGCTGATAAGCCCACCATTGTATAACGTGATTAATAAACAGTATACTTACAATGTAAATTAATAGCGGCACACAAAATCTGATAGCAGGAACTGAAACCTCTTGATATCAATGAATTTTAGGCCTAAGTCTACTTCTTTTCAAAGATTTCAAAACTGGTTATAAGTTGTTTCTGGGTCCCAATTTTCTCAATTCTTCTTTGGACTTTTTCTGGGGATTTCACGGCCCGCGAATCATAAAGCATTTGCATAAACAAACGCTGCCCCTTTGTGCGCTTTATTTTGTAGGCTTTTTAGCATAAAAGCGTCACATTTCACTTTTCCCCCTGTGCATGTGAAAATTTGGGCTTGAATGACTTTTCAGAAACGTTCAAAACTCGATCTCATGGATCCCAAAGTTTCTTCCAATATAGGTTAATGCCATGCTTAGTCTGGGTTCGAGGTGATGAACTTGATATTTCGGTTTCGGTCTCCCTTATCATATTTGTTCTCTCTTTTCTACGAATGCAAATTATTTTTGGACCAAAAAGAAATCGAAATCATTAGCCCAGATTTAGAATATCTCGATATCTGCACGTAATGCTCATAAAACTCTGCAATGTGAAATAAATATTATATTATACCTGGGCCAGAACGTATTCACACATTTGGCAACCGTTCAAAAGACCATTTTATTTTTTAGAGCACTTTTAAGTGCTAGGCAAAGTGTTTTATAGAGCGGCAGCCATATAAGTGGATATGAACACAACATAAATGTATAATTAATCTATAATTACCTTGAAATTAACATGAACTTTCTGCAGTCAGCATTTGGCGCCTGTCCAAAAACGATTTTTCCCAAATTGGGCACCCAAATCGACAGACTGTTTAAATGTTTCTGAGGCAATTGCGACACATTCAATTTGCATTTATCCATAAATGCTCTGTGGAACAACCAAGGGGACGGGCGGATATTTAAAATTCGATTTGGATGTGGAGCTGCTGAAGGTGAACAAATTGGGGCTTTGTTTTGCTCTGGTTCTGACTCCGACTTTGATTTTTTTTTTTTCGTTTTATGGCTCATCAAATTTACGTTTATTAATTGAACTTTTGTTACGCAAAATTTGATTAGCCGGCTCTAATGGCAAAATCAATTTCGTTTTTTTGTTGTCTCCACTTTGAGTTCAACGAATGAATTTTGGCTGACGAAGGGAAGGGATACGAATCGTGATTTGCTGATGGAATATGACTGCAGGACTCACAAAATGTCCTCGACTCTAGAGATTGCTGAAATATTTATCGTTGACATTTCAGTTCTGTGGCAAGAGAGGAGGTGCAAGCAAAATGTCAATTTACATTTTTAATTCGAATGTGGCTGGTGATTGAAGAGAGCTTTCTACCCATATCGAACTCATTGGAAATGCATGAAACTATTCCGAAAATTGCAATCGCATGCAGGCATTCATCTAATGGTTCTTTCTGACCAGGCGCACTAATTTTCTTTTCGAAGCCAAAGGTAAAAATGAATTAAGTTGAACTGCTGGCCTGCAATTTTGATACCACATGTTATATGAATTTTACACTGGAGAAAAAATACAGAGCTTACATTTGCTTCATTGCTTTGTTAATATTAAAATTTAAATTAATTTTATGGCATCCTACAATATTTTATTTTACTAATTTAACTTATTTCTACAATCTAATTCAGATGTAAAAAATATTAGCAGTCCGTACGGTTAAAGAAAAATCCTAATGTATTATGTTTTCTTTCTGCGCACCGATTCCGGAAGTTTCTGCAACACTGCTCTGCAGGGGCGTGGGCAGGGGTGCTTGATACAATTTTATTCGCAGTTACCACCGACTTTGTTGCCGCTGCAGGGCCAGCTGTTGCTGTTGCACATGCAACATGTTGCATGTTGTTGCCGCATTGCCGTAGGCATTTCAACATAATATTTATGCAAAGTTTCAACGTTAGATGTGGCAAGCCATAATAATAAAGGTATAATTTGCCTTTGGCTTCCAAGCGCCCCCTTTGCAACTTCATCGCCCTTCGTAATCTTCGGTCAAATAGTTTCTGCTCTCGTTTCTGTACGTTGTCTTTGGGAAAATCTGAGGAAATTCCTTAGATAAGTTTCTTGGTATGCAACATAATTTATGAGATCCCACAATTACCGTTGACTCAGCAAAACAATTACACAGGCAAGCGTTGAGAAATGTTTTCAAATTGTTTATGTGTCTCGTTTTAATTAACTCTGAACTTAGATAATGTAAACAAAATGTAAGAAAAGTAAAATTCAAATTATTTGTCTTTTTCAGGCTGATATACATAAGTAACACTTTTTAAGTTTAAGAAATCTTATTACATTTTTGCCGAATTTCGAAACCTTAAGATATTCTCTGATGTCTTATGGATGAAAAACTTTTTTACTTTACTAGTAGCGGTTAAAGCACAAAAAGACTGTTCAAAATAAAAGATCGCGGTTATTCTCAGAGGGTATTCTGAGATTCTAAGATGGTAATTTCATTCTCTGCTTCACACGTTTTTCTTCGGCCGAGAGTCTTTCCAAATGAAATCATGTCGCCAGCCCATCAGCAAGCCCGTAGGAGTGTTCCCTCAAACTCCAGTTGTAGGCCAAACGGATCCACACAATTAACTTCGTTTAGGGTAATTTCCGGGCCAGAGCCCTATGAAATAGAACTCCACGCCCCGGAGGGCAGAGATCTTGTTACAAACCCCAACAAATCTCCGGATTTCGCTTCTTTCGCTCCCCGAGAAAGCAGAAAGCTCGTGACAAGTTAAACGTCGGTTTCATAATTGCTCATAGCTCTTGAGTAAATCTGGTATCGGATTTCGCACGGGCTGGAAAATTCAGTTGTGTGAAAAAAGCGGGGTCGGGCATTGTTTATGTATTTTTAGCGGCGAATGCGGAAAACTCTTTGTATATGTAATGCAGTTGTTGCTGCTCCGTTTGCCACATGGCCCCCGATTTTGAAATACTTTACAAAAAACAGAAAAGGAAAAGCAACGAAAACTATTTCAGTACTCGACTGTGAGTATTTGCAATTCAATTTCGTTTTAGTGCAGGCCCAAAGAACGAGAGTGAATCAAGTTTGTTTACCGTTTTTTGGGGGGAAATTGGAAATTTCAAGGTTCGGATTTCGCCGTTTGCACAGCCAAATGTTTTTCGGGGATGGTTTGTGTTACTGGATCAAGGATACAAAGGTGCGTTGCTGCTGGTGGGGTGGACAGGTGTTAACGGCCTTTTCGCGGTGCCAGGCACGACGGCCCCTGTTGCCATTGACACTCGGGTGGGAGTTAGCCGCCCATGTTTATCCCCCTTCGATTTGGGGAAAATGCCAAAAAATGTCACTTGGATTCAATTCGTTTGTGAAGAATATGAAAAGTCAATATTGGTCGTTCAATATGTCATAAGAAATGTCAATTTGGTATACCAAAGTAAATGAGCCGCTTAAATTGAGTTCAAGCAAGAGCGTCTATTACTACCAAATAAATGGATTTGAAGAGTGTTTTTCTTTCAGAGATATAGAGATTCAAAATTGTGTACAAATGTATATCTTATTTATTACACAAAGGGTGGTACAGATGCAAAACTTAAATATTTCAAATCTTAGGCCTTCCTTTATGAAAACTCTTAAACTTCTAGTACTTAAAAAACTGATTATATTTCGCTTACTTTTAATTACATTTGCTCTGCCCTTTGAATGATATCAAAAACCAAAGTTTGACCTTTGCTGTGGTTTCAGTTACTCTTGTGCCCACATATCTAGACCTCTGTCAAATCAGATTTCCAGCCACTGGTTGGGCCAAAGTGAAATGTCAGAAATCAGAGTCATACGTTACACATTAATTTAATTATATATACACACACTATATATGGGGAGGCGCAGATAGGACAAAACCGAGTGACACGTGAGCAATTATTCCTGTTCGGTGTTTGGCTTGCATGTCGTCGTGATTTTTTTGAACATAGAAAAAGTCCACTAACGAATAAATGGGTAGATAATGGAATGTATGATTCAGAGCCCAGGGTCTGCAGGGCAGAGAAGTTGGGTGAGTCACGGATGAAGTTGGGCAGATCGAAATGCCTTCGGGCCCAATAAAAACGGGTCTTGAAGCTGGGCTTTCGCGGCCCCAAGAGAAATGGGCGTGACGCACTTTTGAAAAGCTCAGAGAGCCCAGTTACATCCGATTCATTTTTATTTAATTACACAGCCACTTGAGTCTTACATATATGTCCAACTGTTTTCCTCAATTGCAGCCACCACGCCGATTAATTAGAGGCGTTGCGCAAATTAAAGTTCAATCAACGAAGCTCGTACCGCTGAATCGATCGCCGAAGATGCAGTGCGGCCTGGAGCAGATGAACGACTGTGAGCGGTCGCCGAACCGGACGAACCTCCGGGTCAACTTCAACGAGAAGGGGTCGGAGGTCAAGGAGCGCCGGGAGAAGTTCCTGACGGCCAAGTACGGGTCACACCAGATGAGCCTCATCCGCAAGCGACTGGCCGTCGAGATGTGGCTGTACGATGAGCTCCAGAAGCTCTTCGATCCACCAGTAAGATTTAGAATATTATTTACGATTAGATATCTCCAGATTTGAGTATTAAAAACTAATCTTTCCAACAGAACGAGGCCATCGATGTGGACATCGACGAGATCCTAGATATGGACACAGATGACATCAGGAGATCTCATCTTATAGTGAGTACCATAATTTCCCCACTAGTATTCCGTCATCAAAACTAAATTGTATACCTCTTTTACAGAGATTACTGTCAGTCTGCAAACGCCCGCAATCAGACATATCGAAGTTCATCGGCGATCTGTTGGATCGTGCAAAAACCCTGTAAATCGCCAGCCCCTCATTCGAGAAATCATCCAGCAGACCTACACATATAATATGCAGATAAACAATAAATACCTAGATCATTAAGTTTAGCTCGGAACACAAAGAACAAAGAATTCAGTTTGCAAGTCTTTAACTCTTTCAATTCGAAAACTGTGTTGACTTTTTCCCTGTACTTTAGTTGTTAGCTTGTATCTTTGCGCTGAATAATTTGAAGTTTAACCTAATTTAAGCCACCCTTGAAAATGATTAAAATGATGAAGATCATTAGCCCTAAGCTTATGGTGTAATGCCGCGAAAACAAAATACTTCATCAATTTTGTGATGATATTTTTTAAATAAAACACAAACACGATATGGCCGAAAACCAAAAGCAAATGTCTGGCTGCATTTGAATTGAAGACCATCGCAATGGAAAACCCTGTGTAGTTAAAGAAATATGACTAGATGCAATCCTGAGGGGCATGTAGCTCCTTATTGACACTCCGGTTGTTTTGCAAAATTGTTTATTTGCATGTGTGTGCTTCATTTAACCACCTACCAATATATACCCCTGAATATCATGAATAATTAAAGAAAATTTTGTAAGTAAAGTGTGCGATCACCAAGTCAAAGATGAAAGCTCAGGTTCACTGCCAAAACGTGGAGGAAGAAGATCTTGTATGCGCAGTTAGCAAGTACAAACGGAAATGGAAAACATAGCACAGTAAAGCCTGGCAAAACGGAATTTTAACCACACATCCAAAACTTTGTTCTCTGGGAGTGACTGAAAAAGGGGAATCCGAGAGTTCCATTTGCAGCGTTTTCAAGAGAATAATATCACATCCTATAAATGGTACTGCATTTTAGAAAGCCAAGACTACACACAATATAGTTGTAAATAAAATGTTAACGAACATTCTCCAGCTCGATACCTAACAATTTGTAAATACCCTCGGAAAAGCAACAACACTTCTTCACTCCACGAAATCTACACCTCTTTGTAGTAGTATCTAAACATTTTCTAGCAATTGAAACATAACGTAAAAGTATTTTAAATGTGCTCAATATAGGCGGAGACGAGAGATACGCGATTAAGATTCAGTTCTAGCACACTTAGACGCTCAGAATATGCCCCTACTTCTCTCTATCAGATCTAAAAAGTATTAGTAACTTCTCAAAACAAAATGCTATTTGCATACTAGTAACAACCAATTATTCATCGCATTATTCCATTGCTACATTAAAAGAACGCATAACACGATTATTTAAGCGAGTTTAGCATTAAAGCCTTTATACTTAATCATGCACATAATTCTCATTTAAAAATAAGTGAAAAAGCACACACAGAGCACACGCTAAAAGGTGCGGAGAGCTGTAATGAAAGCTAATAGAAAATATTTATAAAACGCAAATGAAAAGTTTACAATAAAAATTTAATTGCTTTAGACAACATATTTTGGCGTCTTATTGAATCTTCTTTAAAAATACTTAAACATTTTGACTTTTTTGTTCATTTAGTTTTCTTGTATACCCTTGCAGAGGTTATTATGATTTCAGTCAGAAGTTTGACTATTATAGCTATTATAGGTCCCAAGGGAAGGATCGAAAAAAATGATAGCTTCGGTGTTTTTTGACATATTTCTTTATACTCTTGAGAATATTAACTTTTAAATACTTCTGAATTTCGATAAGAATTTTATTAAAATCGGGCAAGTATAGCATACTGCCATAGGAAAAATCGCCAAAATAATGGAAAATTCATAAAAAAAAAGAATTATAGCCCCGTTGGTTTTAATTTTATTCCCTTCTACTCTGGAATATGACTCAATTTTAATAATTCAGAATTTCCAATTAGCCGCCATAGGAGAAATAGAAGTATTAACGTCAAAATAATAAGTAATTCAATATTTTGTAATTTAGTAGGAATGATCTGCAAGATAATATAAGCTTCGGCTGGAAATTCTTCTTGAAGGAAATTAAAAATGCGCGGCTTCTAACGAAAAGCTATCGATACCTTCAGAACCGACTGCAATCGAAACACTTTCGAACAGAGCTGCCAGACAAATGAACCATTACCAGGGTGGCAGCGCTGGAACAGCTGGTCCAGAAAATTGTAAACAATTTCCAGCGAAAATGGAAACGCAGGACTATTACACCTGGACTTACCCAGATATACCGGAAAATGTGGCGTAAGACTAACAGAATCTGCAGTGAGCATCTCATCCACGACTTCCTTTAGCCAGGAGCTGCGGCAGCTGAAGTGCTCGCTGGTGGTGGTCGGAATCGTCGGCCGGTCGAAATGCGACCAGGCCAACAAGATGCAGGCCTTTGGCATGGAGCCTCCGCTGGAGCACAGGGCCAGGGACGGCCAGGTGCAGTGCTACTACAAGCCGGGCTCCAACAGCCTGCTGCTCCACTTCGAGACCACCTACGACGAGGCGATCCTGGGCCAGATGATAGACGCCTGCATGGAGGACGTGGACAATCCCTTTGACTTCGACAGCTTCTACGAGCGGATGCGCTGCCGCTTTGTGCGCATGGTGCTGCTGGCCCTGCACGTCTGCCACATTGTGGTCTACGTGGAGACTGGACAGACCTTTGATCCGACCCTGGTCACCGTCTTCCAGTTGCTCAAGTTCGCCCGGGAGCAGCATGTGATGCAGTTCCTGCCGCAACTGCTCAGGGAGTCCCCGGCCGCCAGGATGGGCGAAAAGGCGCGGCTGTGTGCCCCCCGGATTCTGTTCCTGTTCGAGAACTTCCCGCGGGACGAGCCAAAGACCCGGGAGTGCGTCTCTGCCTACGAGTTCCAGACGGAGGACTGCATCTACGAGCTGCTGCGCCACCACAACATCGTGACCAACAGCAGCAGCAGCTCCCTGGTGGCGCTGCCCAACAACAAGCAGTTCGTGTTCTTCAACGCCCACGAAGAGCTGCATCCGGACAAGTTGCTCAAAGCCATCGAGTGCCTCAACCTGGCCATGTACAAGCCGGATGCCAAGGAGGAGGAGGAGGACCTGGAGATCCTTGAGCTGGCTCCCTTCGAGGGTTTTGTCAAGCCCTACGGCGCCCCGCTCGACGAGAAGGAGCTGGAGAGGCGGCAGTACAAGAAGGACCACACGGCGTGGCACTTTCTGCAGCGACACGTCCAGGACGCCCTGTCAGGCTGCTTCGACGAGGGCTCCTTCAAGCAGCTCCCCCACTACTCGGGGCAGTTCCACCTGCTTAACATCCAGGAGTGGCACGATTGCATGGCCACACTGCACAAGTTGCTGGTGGAGAACGCCAGGGATCCGAATCTAGAGACCAACAACGAGGAATATGTGGGTAGAGTGATTTGTTGGTCATACAAATGTAACTGGATTTCTTATTTCAGAAACTCTTTCTGCAGAGCTTTGACGAGAGTTTGAACTATGAAAAAAAGTGAGTTGATAACTACTATATTTATCAGGGACCGTAACAACTATGAGTTTTATGGAAAAAACTAACAAATAATCTTTATCTGAGATTTTTATGCCAAAAGGGCCAGGGCCAGTTTTGGAAGCTTATCTACTGGATGCAACAAATTTTTAGCAGATTGCACCATTAAATCCAACACTTTTCTTATGATCTTTAAAAATGGTATGCGAATAATGAAGCGATTGAAGTTACAGTAGCTGTTAAATGAGTACACATAGGCACGGCCATCATACTCTGAAGAATTCGCGGTTTTTTATTTAATTTCATTAAACGCCATAAGTGATGCTTTTATACGAGTACAATTGAAAAAGTCATCATCGGTTTTTAATTTTGTTAAGCATGAGCCTCTAACAAATTTGATTCACCAGAACAGCCGTCATCTTATCATAAAAATCCTGAAATAAAAGTTTATTTAATTTTTAGAATATAGCACATATATGTGGCTCAATTTCGTAGTGATTTTTTTTTTCAATAACGATTATTTTCGGTCCCTGATATTTATTCTTCTTGCAGGTTTTGGGCTCACTTGTGCGAACTGGGCCTCAAGAAGGGCATATCCGCTTATAAGAACGCTGCTCCCGCGAATTATGGCAGCTCCACACACAGACAGCTGCTGGCCGAGGCCACCGTTGCCTTCGAGGAGGAGGGTCGCGGTCCGCAGGCAAAGGCGGCTCTGGCCAAGTTGGCAGCCGTGTGCCAGAAGCACTGGCAGGACGGGCGGCAGCACTGCGAGCAGCTCAGCCTGCGCTCCCACCCCTGCACCCTGCCCAAAAACGCGCCGCACGAGAAGCACAGCAGCGGGGTCATCCACATATCCAGCTGCAACTGCGGCCGCACACAGGGCCGCCGGGAGGATCCGTTCAGCCTGCGACAGGCGAACTACGAGTACTACGAGCACATGGCCCAAATGTGCAACCTGTGCGTCAAGGTCAAGCAGTACCAGTTCCCGGTTTTCGAGCCCTCCGTTAGCGATTACCGGGCGGCGGCCTTCGAGGCAGCCTTTCCCCTCCTGCACGCGGGCAAAGGTGGTCCGCCGCAGGACGAGGACGGCGGCGAGGACCTCGAGGAGGAGGAGGAGGGTCAGGAGGCGGAACAGCAGCCGGCGGAGGAGCAGGGCAAGGATTCCGCCAGCAACGGCTGTTCCCAGCCGCTTTCGCCCACCTTTGGCTCCGATTTGAACATGTCCATAGCCGGATTTGGAGCCTCGCTGAACGAATCGCAGGCCAGCTCCGAGCAGCTGACGAATTCCGAGCAGAACTCGACGACCAGCGGAACTTCCAGCGCCGACACGGAAAACGAACTGGTGGTGGAGCTGCAGGAACCGGCCAAGAAGGAGAAAGACGCCGATGCCTACTCCACCTCCACAACGGAGTACTTGCCGGGTCTGGTGCACACGGTCAGCGACTTTGGCCTGCTGCCGCTCTTCCCCAGCTGGTCGCTGGCCTGTGTGGGCCCCAGCTCCATCTACAGCCACAACACCGGCCTGCAGGAGCACTTCCAGAGCGGCTTCCTGTCCGGCGCCAACTTCCTGCTGCCCTGGGACGTCCAGCTGCGCTTGGTGCACGCCCCCAAGCAGCAGCAACACCAGCAGCAGCACCACCAGCAGCAGCATCCTGGCAAGAAGCAGCAGCGCTGGAAGAAGCAGGGCGACCGGCTGTCGCTCAAGATCTTCGTGGGCATGGAGTACGAGTGCTCGCGGGGCCACCGGTTCATGATGTGCGCCCCGGACCGAGTGCTGCGCGGAGGGGCGGACATCGAGCGGGACACCTGCAGCAAGGTGGTGCACAACAACATGCCCCTCTACTATCCCTGTCCCTGCCGCTCCCAGACAAACTACCTGGCGCAGCTAATGCGCATCCATGTGGTGACGCCCAAGGCTCCGGTCAACATAATCGTGGATCCCAAGGTGTGCGTGGACAAGGGCAAGTACACCTTCACCCTGGGCAGCATAATCCCACCACGGCTGTCCCAGAGCGCCTACTGGATCGTCCGTCTGCCCTACGTCTACCAGGGCGACGACGTGTTGATCGCTCCGCCGGACAAGCTGGAACCGGATGATCCCCTGGCCGGCGGTTACCTGCTGCCCGGAATGTTTGGCGTGGCCGAGACGGATCCCACGATGGATCTGAATGAACCTGGACGAATGGGAGCGTCCGCAGCGGGAAATTTCACTAGAATCTAGAAGCTTACGTTAGATCAAATCTACGCAAATAAAAAGATAGAACTGTTTAACTTAACATTACATTTTGTAATTGGGAATCCCATTGTATGCCATGAAATTTCTGATTTGTTAAATTCAATTATTTGTGAAATGAATTGAATGTTTTTCTAGTTCATTTCGAATTGAATGAATGAATAAATAATTTTTATGAATTTTTTTAATTTGCCAGATTTTTTTTTTGTGATTTCTTTTAAGAACAAAAAGTGGAAAATTTTTAACAAATGAATGTTAAATGCTTAGAAAATAAAATTCTTGCAGATTTAATCGCAAAATTATGGCCCTTTTATTCTTCAAAAGAAATTGTCGTTTTTCGGAATTTATGCCATTCATTCATTAAATTCTATTAAACTCAAAATTCAAATTCATTCAATTATATTAGACTCAAAATTCTAATTAATTTATTCATATAAAACAAAAAATTCAAAATAATTTATGCAGGGCTCTAATTGGGATTTCTTAATATTTTTTTTACTTTAATATTCGCTTAAACCAGGGTTCGGAAAATAAGACACTCTGTAAAAAACTTGAGTAATTAACATGTTAAATGACAAAGTGTTGGGTTAAAAAGCACAGGTTATTTGTGTTATTTCATGACGTGTTATTTACACGACGTGTTATTTACACGACGTGTTATTTACACAACGTGTTTTTTACACAACGTGTTTTTAACACAATGAGTTTTTGACATTAACACGTCAAAAATATATGTTGAACTGAAAAATTCACGATTTTCTGTAGTTGAAAAAATTCATATACGCTTTAAAACGGTTAAAAATAACAATTGAGATATCCGGGTCCAATATTGATCCTTCATTTTCCCTTCGATTCGTTAATGTCCATAAAATGTAATTTTCATTTGTGTAAAAATGACGTCGTGTTAATAACAGATTGTGTAAAAAAACACAAGTGAGCTGATGGTTTAAATTCGCAGGCAGTGAAGTTCCGAGTAAAAAGAGAACAACCTTCAACCCTTGCCATCCAGAAAAAGTCTTGATTTTTAAATGTAACGATTAATGTAATCTCTTCAGGCGATTTTGGGAAATACGCGACGTGGAATAATTGGAATCAATTATATGATTCCAAAAGGGGTAAGGGAAAATCCTTTGGGATGTAAAATGAGCAGCATAAAGTAGGGCTTAATACTAACAAAATGTAATATCTTTAGAAGATAATGTGCAAATACAATACGTCTCTTTTTTCAGTAATCCTTAGTCGTGTGGGTTTCTTGTGTGATATGAGAGCCAAAACTGGAATTTTGATCGAGTTGTACTAGGAATGATGCCAAAATCTCTTTAGATAATATGATTAGGTGGTTCCATTGTAGATGTACAGTTTTTAGGTAAAATATTTCTTTGTGAAAACTATTGCTATATAGTTAAACATAACATAAAGAAGCTTAATTGTGACATTCAAATCCATTAAGATTTTGTTGGAACATTCTCGATTATCTTTTTCTAGTCTTCGTAAAGGGAACCCCACGACTTCTTCGCTTATCAAAATTGAATGGGTATACAAAAAAATAGTAAGTCTGGACAAACTAAAAGTTCTTTAAAGAACTTGGGTGCAGTGACCCAAAACTACTTGATAACTGCGGTGCCTTGCAAAGTAAATAAGCTTCCATAAACTATGGCCAATCAACCTTATTACTTAAATCTACATGAGCGCATCGGTATAGACCTCCTCCTCGTTGACGGCAAAGTCGCCGAACACCTCCTCCTGGCAGCCGACATCCATGTCGGCAAAGTCGTCGTAGTACATGTCGGAGTCCAGCAGGATCTGCTCCTCCTGCAGACCGAGCATGGGATAGCCCTGACCGATGAGGGCTTCCTCTGGAGTCTCCTCCTCTGGCGTGTCTCCTCGCTCGTCCTCCTCCTCCTCCTCCTCGTCGGGAGGTTCCTCCGCTTCATCGGGTTCCTCCTCCTCCTCGCCGGTGGAATCCATGGCTGGCAACTTGGGCTGAGGAGGGAGCGGCATTTGCTGCTGCTGCTGGTTCATCTGCTGCAGGACGGACTGGACCCGCTGCATGTAGGCCTGCTGCTCCTCCAGCGAGCATTTGCCCTCTGGCGTGTTCATCGCCGACTGCTTCATCGTGTCCAGGAGCGCGGCATGCTTGCTGGTCACATGACTCGCCAGCGCCGTGGCGTCCGCGTGCAGGGATCCGCAGACTATGCAGACCAGCGTCTCGTGCGGCTGCTTGGCGACCAGCAGGCCGGGAGATCCAGCAGCAGCAGCGGCGGCCACCTGGTGCGCCTGGATGTGCTTGTTGAGGTACGCCTGCTGGCTGTAGGACTTGCCGCAGATGGGGCACGGAAAGGGCTTCTCGCCGGCGTGGATCTTCATGTGGACACTCAGGCTGGAGGCCTGCGTGAAGCACTTGTCGCACAGCTTGCACTGGAAGGGCTTCTCGCCGGTGTGGATGCGCATGTGGATGTTGAGGCTGCCCGACTGCGTGAAGGAGCGGTCGCAGAGGGAGCAGGTGAAGGGCTTCTCGCCCATGTGGTTCTTCATGTGCTGCACCAGCTGCGAGCTGGCGCGGAAGGCCTCGCGGCAGATGGCGCACTGGTAGACCAGCTCCTGGGTGTGCATACGCATGTGCTCGTCCAGCAGCGCCTCCGCCTTGAACTCGCGCTCGCACTCGGGGCACACGAACGCCTCCGCGGGCGCCGCATGCGCCTTCTGGTGCAGCAGCAGCGACGAGTAGTTGATGAAGCCCTTGTCGCACTCCAGGCACTGGTGCGGCTTGCGCACCGAGTGCGAGCGCAGGTGCACCATCAGGCTGCTCGACTGCGTGAAGGCCTTCGGGCAGAGCTCGCACTTGTACGGCTTCTCGCCGCTGTGGATCCGGATGTGCGTGTTCAGGCTGCCGATGTGCGTGAAGGTCTTCTGGCAGATGGAGCACTGGAACGGCTTGTTGGTGATGTGCGAGCGCACGTGCTTGGACAGGTCGCCGGCGTTGGGGAAGCTGGCCTCGCAGTGGGTGCACTGGAAGCACTTCTGGGTGCTGGAACCCAAGGCGGGATCCACCGCCGGGGCACTGAAGTTGCTGCGCCTGCCCCGCCGCCGCTTGATGGGCGCCGCGTCCAGGGAGAATCCCAGCAGCGGAGTGGCCACAGGAGGGGCCAAGCTCTGCGCGAGGCTCACGGCCGGCGGCTGCAGCATGAAGATCGAGGTCGACTCCCGCGGATCCGCCACCTGCAGCTGGAACTCGTTGTATCCCGGCCCGGCCACTAAACCGCGCATGGGCTGCAAGGATTCCTGGCTCTGCTGGGTGTTCGAGTTGCTGGACGTCGGCACCGAGCTGCTAGACGAACTGCTGTTGCTGGAACTCGAAGTAGAGCTGCTGTCGTCGTCATCGTCGTCGTCCGAAGAGGAGGAGCTGTCGGATCCAGAGGAATCACTGCCCTCCGAGGAGTCGCTGCCATCCTCCGCCAGCTGGCACACGGGCTCAAAGATCCAGCTGTAGTCCTCGGCCTCCTCGCCCGGACCCTCCTGCTCCTGCTGCTCGCTGGGATGCTCGTTCGGGTGCAGCGTGTTCATGTGCTGGTAGAGGGCCAGCGGATGGACGAAGAACGCGGCGCAGCACATGCAGTGAAAGGTGAGATCCGGTGGCTGCGGCTGGGGGGGATTGGGATTCGGTAGCTGCTGCTGCTGCTGCTGCTGCAGGATGTGGGATGTGGGATGCAGGATCGGCGTGATCGTCAGGGGCAGGTGGTGGTAGCTCTGCTCCAGCTGCACGGCCATCTTGCTGCTAAAAACGGGCAAGGAGTGCTTAAAGATTTTCTCTACAACAGGAAGCGAAAAATCAATGCCGTACCTGCGGGTGAGATTGGATGCAAAGTGGGCTATTCTGGGGCTAATAACGGTTGCGTAGATTACTATTATATCACTGGTGTGTTGCTCAGGTTCCGTGCTTTTGTGTTTCTCTCAGGGCTCTCGGATTTTCTCCACTCCGTTCCATTTTATGCGCGTCCAAACAAAAAGTTGTACTTGCTTCCTGTCTTTTATGTTTTGCTTCTATTTTGAATTCAGCAGCTCAGTTTCGCTGGTCGGCGGGTGGAATCCCCGTTTTCTGGCCGATTAGAAGGACTGCCAGGAGCTGCGCGTCAGGCGAAAGCAGCGCATCGCCAAATCGCAGTTTGCAAAATCGCAATTACAAGCGTCCTCCGAATGGTTACAACAAATAAAAGAAAAATGTTTTATGTTGGGCGGTCTGCGCACGATCAGGCAACAGCATATCGTCATTCGCAAGCGTCGTGCATGTCGCCTGCATGACGGAAAAGACCGCGCTTACTCAATTCAAATTAGAAAAAATCCATCTTGTTTAACTTGATGAAAATCAGCGTAAGTTTGGAACAAATAACCTCATTTACTGTGTTGCTGTGTGTAATTATTCCAGTAAATTCCAGTAAGAACTTTTAATTTTAATAAGTATGGAACAGATTTGGAATATTATACCCAATAGGTTTTCAATATCATAGGACTTTTTTATTTTTAGATCACAATTTTAAGAAAAAAAGTATACTTGGTATAAGTTAAGAAAATATTTTTTATTGTTAATATTTAACTTATAACCTTTTGTTAAATTGAGTCCCTTAATTTCAAAACTATATTTTAAATTATTACAAATATTACGATCTTTAAGTAAATGATATCAAACAAAAACCACCGCACCTTCAACATACAAAAAATCTGATGTCATATTTTGTGACGAAAAATAATTTTACAATCGAAAATATAAAAACCAGGGACCGTAAATAATGATTATTGATATATTTTTTGAACCAAAAAATCAGGCACTTAGGAACGACATACGCAAAAAAGGAAAACACCATAGTGATCCTCTTTGCTTAATGATGATTTTTATTTTTGGGATATTCCTCAAAAATAATGATTATTTAAAATAAAAAATAATCATTATTTCTGATCGAATTTATTTATTTCGCTCAGAAATAAAACTCACTTGGACGCCACGGTTTTTCTGTGCCGATTTTCGGCGTTTTTTGCATAGTTTTTTGCAGACGTACCCCCTCTGACAAAAAAAAATTGAACTTGGCTTCTGCATCCCGTTAAATGGTATTATTCTTATAGTCAGTAAAGGAGATACTTCTAGCCTTTGTTTATGTTTATGTATTTAAACATGGATTGCAGTCGAAATGCACTTTTCTTTCTCTCTCACACTACAATAACTAATTAACCAATGAAGGCTGCCAGCTCGACAAAACATACTGTTATTATAATTAACAAAGTGCCACCGCTTTTTTAAATCTCTAGAATCTAAAGAAGCATTGTCCCTTATTCTTAAGAACAGCTTATCCTCTTCTTCAGAATTCGCGACTTTTGCAGAACTAATTTAAATATCAAACCATGTATAGAAAAGGGTTTTAGGTAAGTAGAAATTGGTTAACAAAGTCTGAAGTATTAGTTGTTCTTAAGAATTCGCGGTTCTTCAAAAATCGATTTCAGATACAGTTTTATTCAGAAATAAAGTAATCAGCACAACTTTCCACCCAAGAAAGACAAAATTGGTTATTGATTTTAAAACAATTATGTCGTGTTATTTTATTTTAAATAGTATTATTATTTAAATATTTTAGTTAATTTTTATTTAATTTGACAAAAAGAAGCATGGCCAAGGACGAGCTTGTTAGGTTGCACCTATTGTCCGTCAACATCATTTTCATTGCTGAAAACGCTCTCTCAACACTAACTAGCGTTGCAGGTACAGAGTGTACGACTGTGGCCAGTTGATATAGAATTGGGTAGCGCAGCTTATTTTCTTCCCAAAACTTCATGATGTCTGTATCCAGGTTTATAGGTTTGTACTACTTTTGTACTACTTCATTTTGATTAAATTCCTCTTCTTCTCCAGAGGCGGCTTCGATTCCGTTTAGGAACTCATCTAAGAGCAGGGAAGAGCTAGAGTTATTAGGTGACTCGTTTGTTAAGGTCGATGCTATTGTTGATATCGTAGCCAGTGACGTTGTCGAAGTTAGTGATGTAGTTAAATCCAGTGATGATGTCGAAGCAGGGGATGATGTCAAAGCCAGGGATGAGATTGCTCCTTCAGACGTCGAATTAGTCTGCAAAATAATATAATGTAATATATTATGTTCTTCTAAATTTAGTTACCTACTCTTTTCAAATTAAATATTTGAAGCAAAAGTTGTTTAAGATTAGCTTTGGCCAGCATAACACTTCTCGGATTTTTTACTAATACTCTTCGAATGCGTGGATCCAAATAGATACTAGATAGAATCATTTTGTCTTCTATTATGCCATCTTCCCTCTTTTGGATCCATTGGTACAAATCTCTACAGAATGTTAATTGGCTTGCTGCGACTGTTAACTTAAGCTCAAGCCAGAGCTTATAAAAATCGCCAAGGAATAATTGGCTGGGATTGTAATTATACCCGTTACTCGTAGAGTATAAGGGTATTTTGTATTCGTGCAAAAGTATGTAACAGCTGTCCGTCTGTCTGTCCGTCTGTCTGTCTGTCTGTCTGTCCGTATGAACGCAGAGATCTCGGAAACTACAATAGCTAGAAGGTTGAGATTTCCCACACATATGGGCTTCCTACGCAGCGCAAGTTTAGTTCAGCCGAGCGCCACGTCCCCTCTAACGCCCACAATCGCCCACTAACGATATTAAAATGTGTCCTGCGCCCACATCTTTAAAGATTTCCGAAAAGTATGAATTCAATTTTGTTGTGTATATTTATACCTATCGAAATGTAAAAGACATTTTTCAAATCTCTTGTTTTTGAATGGCTCGGTACGCCGGCTCCAATGCTTTTGTCAGATTTTTCAATTCGCTCCACTCTGTTGCACTTAGCTTAACTGAGGACTTTAAATGTCGCTTGCAAAAATGTTCAAAGGCTTGGAACTTCTGCAGCTAAGATATGTCGAACTCCAACGGGTCGCGACGTCCAGAACCGGTTTTAATAATTCTTCTTCTTCTATCAAGTAGCTTTAATTGAAAAAAGAATTGAGAATAAAATAAATTAAATATATATAAAAAAACCCACCTGAATGACGGAGTTTGCAGAAGCTTGATAATTTTTCGTGCTTTGTCAATAAACTGATCCCAAGCGATCAAAGAAATCTTTAATTGCGAGCTGAAGAGTATGAGCTGCGCACTTAATCGAAACTATTGAATGGATATTTAAATGCTGGGTGAGCTCTTCTTCTTGCAACTCATCAGGGTTTTCTTCATCATCAATCTCCCATTTGTTTAGCAAATCTACAGCCTTCACCATGTTTCGGCCGTTATCAGTGGTTATGCTGTAAATCTGTTCCTTCTTTATGCAAAAATCATCCATTATAGACTGAACTTCGGAGCAGAGATTTTGGGACGTATGGGACTTTGTTAGCTCTATAATATCCAAAGTCTTAATAACAATTTTACCGTTCTTTATAAACTGCACATTTACTCCAGGAATTCCGCGATTGCACCTCGTTGCAGTGTCAATTTTCAGGCAAACAATACGTGGTTTTAAGGCATTTACAATTTTGATTTTAATCGAATGATACTCTTCCTCCACAAGTCCCATTATATTTCGGGAAGAAACCGCTGGCATGTTCAATCCACAAAATATTTGATTGGTCAATGTCTTGAAACCTGTGGAATCAAAGACAGCCAATGGAAGTTTTTCGGTAGTTACCAAATCGATGCACGCATACTTCGCTTCGTTTCGGCCCATTGTTACTGAAAACTACTTTTTTTTCTTCCACCTGGTCATCTGTTATTGTTGTTCCAGTATGTATTGTCGAGCTGGCAGCCTTCATTGGTTAATTAGTTATTGTAGTGTGAGAGAGAAAGAAAAGTGCATTTCGACTGCAATCCATGGTTAAATACATAAACATAAACAAAGGCTAGAAGTATCTCCTTTACTGACTATAAGAATGATACCATTTAACGGGATGCAGAAGCCAAGTTCAATTTTTTTTTTCAGAGGGGGTACGTCTGCATTCGCTACATAGGACTATGCAAAAAAACGCCGAAAATCGGCACAAAAAAGCCGTGGCGTCCAAGTGAGTTTTATTTCTGAGCGAAAAAAATAAAAATCAACAATAATCATTATTTTTGAGTTTTATTTTTTTCGATCAGAAATAATGATTATTTTTGATTTTTATTTTAAAACTCAAAAGTAATGATTATTTTTTAGTTTTATTTTTTTTTTATCAAAAATAATGATTATTGTGTGAGTTTTAAAATAAAACTCATAATGATTACGGTCCCTGATAAAAACACTTTCTAAAATTTACTATTTACTTAAATCTTAATTGAGAAATCCTTTTCAAGGGTGTTGAATAGGGGAATTGCCCCATTGTCGTCCTTGACATCCTTCGCGAATTGAAGAAGCTTTGGCCCGGTAACCTCCAGGGAAGTGTCTTCTGGAAACCTGAAAAATCCAAAATACGGAGTATTTCTCATTACCTGCATCCTATTGACATCGGGAACGACTTCGTCACCTGATCCGGATCCTGGTCCTGGGGCTCCTCCAAGGATCATCTCGGCGTCCTCCATCTCCTCGTTGTTGTTGTGGTCGTCATATACTGTGTTTATACGATGCCGAATTCACGCTATCATTTCACGCTTTCGGCCGATTCGTGTCTGTATAAACGCCATTTCAAAAGCGTGATTTGGTGATAAGCAATCTGGTAACTCTGTAAAAAAAATGATCGACGTTGCCAGATCGCTAGAAATTGATGGCCTTTTATAGGCTATTTCTCTAATCAGTGGTATTAAAAATTAGATATTTTTACCGGTCCGGTATCCCTATCAGCTGAGAGTGAATAAAAGCATGAATTCTCGGTTGTCGTATAAACAGGGGTTATTTCTATATCGCGCTTTCAAGAAATCGCGATTCCTATCGTATAAACATAGTAATATAGTAATAAATGTTATAGAGACGCCACTTGCTCTGCCGCTCTCTTCGGCGAATTCGCCAATGATGCCACCTAGGCGAAAAACGAAAATTTCCCTAATTTTTAATATGTTCGATTCAAACATGCATTTCGGGCCCATGGTGAGTTTTATGGGATTTTATATATCTGCACCGCTCTCACTCACTGCTTTGTTTTTGTATGTGGACTCTCACCACTATTGCTGTTGCTTCATGTTGGATGCGGTGAGAAATTTAAGTTCGCTTCGAACTTGGCCTTGAATGGGCTCTCAGCAGAGCTTGGGCAGAGGTTCGG